TGCTTCAATACTAAGTAGCCTCTGCCCATTTTGGAGGGGGCATGAGCTCAAGAGAGGCGCTGGTCCCCACCACACCTGCCACACCTGGGTTACCTGCCTGGACCCTGTAGTCACTTCAGCATGACCCCTAGTGGATGGCATGTCGGTTGTTTGTAAAATCAAACCACAAATGATGTTTTTAATGTACACATTTGCTTGAATAGATTTGTGTGATTATGGGGAAAGACACAATAGGAATGAAGAATAGAGATAGCAGACATTCTTTTTCTACCTTTTGTCTCTTTTTCTGGTTTTGGTAAAGACATTTTATATTCATAATTTGTGGAATTTTAGCAAAAGAGGTATAGTACAAAAAAGTTGAAGAGGAGGGTTTATTTAAGAGGACTGAATAAACAGGACAAAAATATTTTTATGGGAAAAATTCTCTTCATTTTACTTGGGCATTTTCTCTTACAAGTGACTCAAAATCAGCTAATCAAAGCCTACTTAATAAATTACAAAGTCCAATTTATAATATACCTTTCTATCAAACTCTAAAAAGATGGCAACTACCTCAACTTGATCAAACATCTATGAGAAACCTACAGTAAATATCTTGCTTAATGATGAAACATTTAAAATATTCCCACTGAAGCCAGGAGGAAGCCAAGGACGAAGCATTAAATTACTGATTCCTTATTTAGTACTGTAAGTATGTCACTCTCTCTCCTTGTTTCTATTAACCCCCATGCCTTTTGTTTGATTCAGCAAATTTTTCTTGATCCTCTTTTTCCTTAATCTGTTTGAAATTTTACATTCTATTCCAATTCATGTCGTAGTTCCCAGTGGGTACCTACCTACACTTCGACTTATAAATGTGTCAGAGTTTAGAATTTCAGTATTCTCTTATATTCAGCCTCTATATCATTTGCAGGAACTAGACAAGAACTTGAGTAGCGTCTAGCTCCTTCTGAACTCCCCTATGTCCCAAATGTCTATGTCATCATCTTCTGGAATTTTAATTCTAGGTCATCCATCTTTCTTCCAGAATCATACTTACCTAGACTTAATAACATAGCTTAATAATTTCTTGGCTTACTGATTCTCTTGCATCTCACTTCTTCTAGGTTTTTTGTCTGTTTTTCTCACTGGCTGAAAAACATTATTTGTACTTTCACTGTAGATAACAGCTGAATTCAAACCACCTTGAACAGAAAGGGTGTTTAGTAGCTTGCACATTGTAAGTTGTGTACTCTAGGTTCAAGGGAAGCTCAGGCTTCAGGCCCAGTCTGAGTGGGAGTCTGGCTTTTTTTCCTTTTTCTGTAGGCCCTTTCTCTCTTCATGTGGCCTTACCCTTGAGCTGACACTTCTTGCCTCTTCCTCTCCCCAAACATTTCTTTGATCGATCATAGAATTATAGATTCAGAGTCACTTCCCTCTCGAAGCTCTAAGGATGTTGCACTATTGCTTTCCATAGTCATTGATGCTGCCATGCAAAGTCTACTGTCAGCCTAATTCTGCTTTCCATGCAGGTCGCAAGTCTCAGCTCTCAGGGAGCTTTTGGAATGATCTCCCTACCATACTTCATATTCCCAATGGGGGTTATTCTTGTAGCCTTCTCAGGATTCACATCTTTTTTTCATTGGGAGAATTCATTAGCCATAATTTCCTCATATTTTTCTGTCACCCAAATGTTTGTGCTCTCCAGGGAGAGCTCCATGTTAGATGACGCTTGGATCCTCCAGATGATGGATCCTGTGAATCCTCAGAATGACAGATCCTGGAAGAGCTTCATGTCACATGACGTGTGGATCCTCAGGATGACGGATCCTGGGGGAGCTCCATGTTAGATGACCACTCGATCCTCAGGATAACGGATCCCAGAAGAACTCCACATTAGATGTCCACTGATCCTCAGGACAACAGATCGTGAGGGAGCTCCATGTCACATGACATGTGGATCCTCAGGATAATGAATCCCAGTGGAGTTCCATACTAGATGACCTCTGGATACTCAGGATGATGGATTCTGGGGGAGCTCCATGTTAGGTGACCTCTGATCCTCAGGATGATGGTTCCCAGGGGAGCTCCACATTAGATGACCTCTCATCCTCAAGAAAATGGATCCTGTGGGATCTCCATGTTAGATGACCTGTGGCTGCTCAGGATGACAGATCCTGGGAGAGCTCCACATTAGATGACCTGTAGATCCTCAAGAAGAAAGATTCTGGGGGAGCTCCACATTATGTGATCTATGGATCCTCAGGACAACAGATCCCAGGAGAGCTCCAAGTTAGATGACCTGTGGATCCTCAGGAAGACAAGCCCATGTTACATGACTTCTGATCCTCAGGATGATGGATCCTGGGAGAAGTCCAAGTTAGATGACCTCCGATCCTCAGGATCCCAGAGCAGCTCCACATTAGATGACCTCTGATCCTCAGGACGACAAATCCCAGGGGAACTCCAAGTTACACAACCTGTGTATCCACAGGATGATGAATCTCAGGGGAGCTCCATATTAGATGACCTCTGGATCCTCAGGACCAGGTATCTAGGGGAAATTTCATGTTAAATGAATTCTGATCCTCAGGATGATGGATGCCGGGGCACCTTCACATTAGTTGACCTCTGATCCTCAGGACAATGGATCCTGGGAGAACTCCACGTTACATGACCTGTGGAAACTCAGGACATCAGATCCGAGGGCAACTCCACATTAGATGACCTCTGATCCTCAGGATGACAGATCCCAAGGGAGCTCCACATTAGATAACCTCTCATCATTGGAACAACAAATTCTGAGGGCGCTCCATGTTAGATGACCTCTGGATCCTAAGTACGATAGATCCCAGGGTAGCTCTACATTAGATGACCTCTGATCCTCAGGTCAATGAATTCCAGGGAAGTTCCCATGTTAAATGACCTGTGGGTCCTCAGGATGGTGGATTCCTGGGGGAGCTTCAAGTTAGATGATCTGTGGATCCTCACAATGACAGATCACGGGAGAACTCCATGTTACATAATCTGAAGAGTCTCAAAATGATGGATCCTGGGGGAGCATCACATTGGATGGCCTCTGGATGCTCAGAATAATTGATCTCAGGGCAGCTCCATGTTGTATGACCTCTGGATCCTCAGGATAACGGATCCTGGGAGAGCTCCAAGTTAGATGACCTGTGGATCCTCAGGACGACTGATCTCAGGAGAATTCCATATTAGATGACCTCTGGATCTTCAGGAAAAGGGATCTGGTGGTAGCTCCACAATAGATGACTTCTAATCCTCAGGACCATGGATATCAGGGCAGCCTCCTGTGAGATGGCTTCTGATCATCAGATGACAGATCCTGGGGCAGCTCTGTATTAGATGACCTCTCACCCTCGGAATGACAGATCCCGGGGGAGCTTCACGTTAGAGGACCTCTCATCCTCAGGACAATGGATCCCAGGGGGAGCTCCACCTAAGATGACCTCTGGATCCTCAGGATGATGGATCCTGGGGGAACTCCACATTAGATGACCTCTTATTCTCAAGGTGACAGATCCTGGGGGAGCTTTACGTTAGAGGACCTCTGGATCCTCAGGATGACAGATCCTGGTAGAACTCCATGCTAGATGACCTGTGGGTCTTCAGGACGATGGATCCTGGGGCAAATCCACCTCTCATTCTCAAGAGGACAGATCCCAGGGGAGCTCCATGTTGCATGACCTATGGATCCTCAGGATGACAGATCCAGGGGGAGCTCCATGTTAGATGACCTCTGATCCTCAGGACAATGGATCCCAGGGGAGCTCCATGTTAGATGATCCACATCTGATCTTCAGGACAACAGATCCCAGAGGAGCTCCATGTTAGATCATCTCTGGATCCTTGAGACAACAGATCCTGGCAGAGCTCCATGTTAGATCACCTCTGGATCATGGATCTCAGGGAAGCTCCACATCAAATGACCTCTGATCCTCAGGATGACAGATCCCAGGGAGCTCCATGTTAGATGACCTGTGTATCCTCAGGATAACAGATTGCAGGGAAGCTCCACATCACGTGGCCTGTGGATCCTCAGGACGAAGGATCCCTGGGAGCTCCACGTTACATGACCAGTGGATCCTCAGGATGATGGATCCTGGGAGAGCTCCACATTAGATGACCTGTGGATCCTCAGGACAACAGATCCTTTGGGAGCTGCATATTAGATGACCTCTGATCCTCAGGACAATGGGTCCCAGGGGAGCTCCATGTCAGATGACCTCTGATCTTTAGGACAACAGATCCTGGGGAAGCTCCATGTTAGATTACCTGTGGATCCTCAAGAGGATAGATCCTGGAAGAACTCCATGGTAGATGACCTGTGGATTCTCAGGATGATAGATCCTGGGTGAGCTTTAGGTTAGATGACCTGTGGATCTGCAGGACAATGGATTACAGGAGAGCTCCATTTTTGATGGTCTGTGGATCCTCAGGATGATGGATCCTGGGGGAGCTCCATATTAGATGACCTGTGGATCCTCAGGATAATGGATCCCAGGGAAGTTTCATGCTAGATGACCTGAGGATCCTCTGGACAATGGATACCAGGGGAGCTCCACATTAGATGACCTGTGGATCCTCAGGACAATGGATTGCAGGAGAGCTCCATGTTTGATGACCTGTGGATCCTCAGGACAATGGATCCCAGGAGAGCTCCATGTTAGTGAACTGTGGATCCTCAGAACAATGGATCCTAGAAGAGCTCCACATTACATGACCTGCGGATACTCAGGACAATGGATCCCAGGAGAACTCCATGTTATATGACCTCTGATCCCCAGGACAATGGATCCCTGGGGAACTCCACGTTAGCTAACCTGTGGATCCTAAGGAAGACAGATCCCAGGAGAGCTCCACAGATGACTGTTCTGTCACACTATCCATCTCTCTTTTGCCCAAATATCTAGTTTTCACTGATTTATTCCTCATTCCTACCCATTCTGTCATTTAAACCATCAACATAACAGGATTCCAACAACCTTGTTTTTTATTCCAAGTATCTTTAATTGGCTTTTAATATAAGAACATTAAAAGGACTTGGGGAGCTGCTTGTTTATTTGAACAAGCGTTGAGGAACTTCATGCATGCATATCTTTGACAGAACATACAAAGCAGAGGCAAGAGGGGCATTGAAGCAGATGGACTACTGTCAAGATCCTGGGAGGAGGGCTTGGAGGCTCCTGACAACACAAAGTGAGGGCTCTGGCTGAGATGAGCGGGGAGGAATGGAACAGAAATGGGGATGGAGTTTGGGGCTGGGGAAAGTCCAGGTGGAAGAAAGGGAGGCTGGCAGCAATATGGGTGACAGAGGTCAGTGTGTAATGTGGGCAAGGAACACCGGGACCCCGTGCACGTAGGTGCCACTGGAGGTCTGCATGACGCGCAAAAGACCGGAGCCACCCAGAGGCCTGAACCCAATACAGGGATAGAGGGCCAACATGGGCTGCCTGGCCACAGCTGCAGGCCCAGGGGCAGGAGGCGGCTCCTGAAGCCCCACCTCAGGCTGGGCTGCGTGAGAGCCAGGGCCTTCCTGCACAGTTCCAGGCATAGGAGCTGCTTCGATAAAAGAGAGGGCTAGGGTCTGCCTGACTTCTGGTTCCCCCTGGTGGCCTGGGTCTCCACGGTAGTTTAGCCGGATGTACACCTCTGGCCCCTCTCTCTGGCGGGGGACCCTGCGGAGCCCGACCCCAGTGCCACGGCCTCGACCTGCCTGCCAGTTTCCTCCCCGGCGCCGGCCTCTTCCTGCAGGATGAGCCGGCTCTGTGCGAGCTGGGGGCTCCCGTCTCATAGGTATCACATAAGCAATGGGTTTTTCAGGTTGGACTGGCTCGGCAGCATCTTCACGGTCCACACCAGAGCAGCCTGGCTCCATAGGAGGCCCACCTGAAGATAAAAGAGAAGCAGAGTGTGAGGAGATGGAGCACGGGCTTCCCAGGAAGCCTTCGGGAAGGGAGACCAGGAGAGGGGTTCAAGGAGGGGAGGGCCCAGGGGACCCCTGGCAAAGAGTGAGGGTCAGGAGATGCCTGCAGGGTGAGCCCTCAGGAGCTGTCTGTCTAAGGGCCTATCCTGGGCTCAGCACCTTCCAAAAGCTTCTGAAGTCCTTGCAATGACCTTGTCAGTTGGATATTATAATCACCATTTTACTAATAAGAAAATGAGTCTACAGTTCACTAGGAAGGCTGAATTTGAATAAAAATGGCAGGCTGCCTGAGCTTAAACTTCAGTAGGAGAGAAAAACAAAACACCTAAAAATGAATGATGCTAATGAGTAACCAGCTGGGAGATGAAAGGTATCATGAGGGAGGTGCCACTGGATCCAGAATGCTGGGGCTGTTTTCCCAGGCGGTTTCATTTATCTGGGCATCCGTTACCCTTTTCATGAATTGGTATAACATACCAACCCTTGGGTCCTTACAAGAACTGAGTTACTACAAGAGAAATGTTTAGATTAGTGTTTAGCTCAAGTAAGCATCTTAACATGTATTGGGAAGGAGATGATCAGAAAGTCTTGCTGGAGAAGTTAACATAAGCTGGGGACATCAAGGATGGGTGGGATTTAGCACGGCAAAGACGGGAGACAATTAGTAGCAGGTAGAGGATTCTAGGTGACAGAGGGGCCTGGGTGGTTGCATGGCTTCCAGGGGTGGAAAAAAGCCTGGGGTGGCTATAGGCTAGCTTGGCAGGGAAGGGAAGTGGTCACACAGATAAATGACTGAGCAATGGAACAGAATGGGAAGCCCAGGACTAGACAAATCTACAGAAATTTTATCAATGACAGAGCAGGCATTGAGGATCATCTGAAGCCTCTTCACTAGGAAACCTGTGTAGCCTAAGAAAATGTCCCAAGAAACTGACATCTAGGGTTGCCCACTTTCATAGCTCAACAATATATATTCTGTGGAACCCAATCAACAAGCCCCATCCATGGGCTTGGAGCTCCCATCAGCTTATTCTGGGTCCCATTTTAAAAATATAAGCAGTAATCAGAGATTACTAAACATCAGAGGAAAGGCTCTAACATGAGACAGAACAATAACACAAGAAAAGCCAACTTGGAGGAAACAGTTTATTCCAGAGATGAGACTTTCTAAAAACATCTATAATTAATATTCTCGAAGAGATAGAAGGAATTATGCCCATGAATCAATTATAGCGTACTTTTTAAAAGAAATATTCAGAAAAACTATGGCTTTTTGAAATTAAAATATGAGAGCAGAAATGAAAATCTCCATGGAAATTTTTGGAAGATAGAGTTGAGAAGATCTCCCAGAAAAGAGAGCAAAAATCCAAAATGATGGAAAAGAAGGAAGAAAACATATAAGAAAATTAGAAGCATATGGTCACCAAGACATATCCCCATAAAATTCCAGAGTGCTGGTGACAAAATCCTAAAAGCTTCCAGAGAGGGAGAAAGAGAAAGAGATGAAAGGCCTTATGGAAAGGGTCAGGATTCAGCATGTCTCAAAAATCAGACAGCTCAAAAACAGCAATTAAATAGGGAAGATAATATAAAATGTCTTCAAAATGTTAAGGGAAATGGACCTCCCACCCAAAATTTGATATCTATAATTAATATTCTCGAAGAGATAGAAGGACTTAAGTTCTATAAGTCAATGCCAAAGGTAAAGTAAAAATCTGGAAAAAACTAAAAGGAGAGTGGCAGGCATTTGACCGTACCTTGGTTAAAGGCGGTGGAGCGAAGTCGTTTCGAACGCCTTGGTTCCTCCATGAGGAATCTGCGGGAGAGGGTGAGGAGAAAAATGCATCAGTGGGGCGGCGGGGGGCAGGGGGCGTTAAACCGCAGCCTCATTTCCCAAGCACCAGGCAGCAATGCGGATCCTACCTCACCCCGTCTTCCGGGGCCATTGCCGCTTGCGGGCCTCAGAACACTTGCACCAAGCCCGTGGGGCGCCGCCAAGGGGATCACGTGAAGGTGTGGGCAGGGGTGGGGGTTGGGGTGGGGGGAGACTTCTACACTGTAAGGGATTTCCAAGGAGGAGCCAGTAGCTAACAGGGATTGGCCTAGAGGCGGCCTGATTAACTTATCCCAGTTTCTTCAGACAAAGCTGGTACTGGGGAGACTAACAGGCCTCCTGGAGAAATCATCTCTACTTAGCGGAAGACGGAAAGAAAATGGAGGATGGGGAACAGAGTTTCGAAGAAGGCAAGGCTGACAAGGGAGGTGGCCTCAGCTTTTCCAGGGCACTGAGGATTCTGTCCCCACCTGTATCCGCACAAACTCTACCCACCCCTCAAGGACACCCAGACACACACCTGATCTCCCTGCAGTTGGCTGTCTTCTACTAACAGAGGCCCGAGGAGCTGGAGGTGTCCACAGGGTCACGGCTGTGGCTCCGACGTCGCCTTCAAACGCGCACCGGACCAGGCAGGCAGGAGGGAGCACGCAGCGATCCCGCCTCAGAGCCGGGCAGAAAGCAGAATGCTCACCGCCCGCGCTCTCTGTCTTATAAGGCGCTGAGGCTGTCACGTGACAGGTGTGGTCAGGGGCGGGGCCAGCTGGGGCAGGCCTGACTAGACTTGGAATGTCATTGGCCCAGTCCTTTGCCTGTCAAATGGGGCCCGCCAAGATGCCCCCCTCCCCCCGTTCATAGAAGTCAATGGTTGATTGATCAATCTAATCATTGAGAAAAAATGCAATATTACAATAAGTGCCAGCAAAAGGGAGGTGTGGTGCCGTGAGAGTAGTGAATAGCAAGGTTTAATTTGATTAGATATGAGCATGGTGAAGGAAAGACTTGCGGGGAGTATTTGGACTGAAATATGGAATTTGGAATTTGAATTAATCGATGTGGCTGGGAGGGGAAGGGAGCGAGGCAGGCGAGTGAAGAACAGGTGCTGAGGCCCAGCCTGGAAGGGAGCTGGGCCCATTCCGAGAATGGAGGGGGAGGTCAGGCCCAGGCCCCGGGTGTGTGAATTCAGGGCGGGGGCCTCAGGAGCTGGTCTTGTTCCGGGAAACCACAGAACAGTGTCCTGAGTGGGTGAACATTTCAAAAACGGTCAGACTGGCTGTGAAGGAGGGAACCCAGCATGCCAGGTTAACTCAGGAGAGGCAAGAGGGCTACGCAGCCCTAGGGGCTGGGGGCAGAGTCGTGTTAGGCAGGACTGTGGGCAGCAGAGGCGGAGAACGAGACCTGGCAGGAGACAAGTCTGCAAGGGAAAGTGAGCCGAGTGCAGACAGCCCTTGGAGGGAAGGAGCCTGCAGCCTCGGCCGCCTGTTCCTTCAGACAGAGGTGACCAGGAAACTGCGCTGAGTGAAAGACGGTGAGCTTGAGTTCCGTCCGTTGGGTTGAAGGAGATTTTGAGCCGCCAAGTGAGGACGTCAAGTGGACTTTTGTGAAAAGATTCTGGAGCTCAGAGAGATAGCAGGGGGGCTGGAAATACGTATAAGACACACGCTACGGGCGTTTACTGCTGTGGGTACACACACGGGAGGAGAAAGAGAGCAGGAAACACACCAGGACACACGAGGGCGCCCGCAGTGGGTTGGTTGGTTGGTTGGCTGGTTGGTTTGCTTGTTTGTTTCTTAAAGAGCCAGAGTCTGCCTCTGTCGCCCAGGCTGGAGTGCAGTGGTGCCATCTTGGCTCACTGCAATCTCCGCCTCCCGGATTGAAGTGATTCTCCTGCCTAAGCCTCCAGAGTAGCTGGGACAACAGGTGCGCACCACCGTGCCTGGTTAATTTTTGTATTTTTTGTAGAAATGAGGTTTCGCCATATGACCGACGTGGTCTTGAACGCCTAAGTTCAAGCCATCCTTCCACCTCAGCCTCCCGAGTAGATGAGACCACAGGCTAACGCCACCATGCCTGGTTAATTGGGTGGTGATGTTGTCGAGACAAAGTTTTCTGCTATGTTGCCTCGGCGAATCTCCAACTCCTGGCCTCAAGCAGCCTTCCCACCTAGGCCTCCCAAATCACTAGGATTACAGGCATAAGCCACCACACTCTGTTCCCATAATGTTTTAAAATTCTGGCCAGCCACGGTGGCTCGTGCCTGTAATCCCAGAAGTTGGGGAAATGGAGAGGATTACTTGAGTGCAGGAGTTTGAGACCAGCCTGGGCAGCATAGCAAGGCCCCATCTCTACCAAAAAAAAAAAAAAAAAAAATTACCCATGTGTGGTGGTGCCTGCCTGCCTGTGGTCCCAGCCACTAGGAAAGCTGAGATGGGAGGATTGCTTGAGCCTGGGAACTCAAGGCTACAGTGAGCCAAGATGGCACCACTGCATTTCAGCCTGAGACAGAGTGAGACCCTGTCTCAAAAAAAAAAAAAAAAAAAAAAAAAAGATATAAATAATGCAATACCTATTAGACTCTCAATATTATTTTTTGTTGCTTTTGTTTTTAAAAAATCAACTTTATTGAGGTACAATTTACACACAGTAAAATCCATCCATTTCAAATACCCAATATGATGAGTTGTGATAAACTTGTAGACTTGGGTAACTACATCCACAATTAAAATACAGAATAATTTAATCACTGGGTGAGCTCCCTTTCGTCCCTTTGCTGTCAGCCTCTTTCCCCCATCCTCTGCCCCAGCAACCAATGATCTGCTTTTTTATCTCTACAGATTATTTTTGCCTGTTCTAGAATTTCACATAAATGGAAGCATACAGTACATCTTGCTTAATATAATGTTGTTGATGCATCTGTGTTGTAGAATGCATGAGTCATTCATTCCTTTTCATTGCTGAGTGGTGTCTCATTGCATGAATAGACTACGGTTTGTTTATCCAGTCACTACTAGCTGAGGACATTGATTGGGTTGTTTCCAGTTTGGTTCTATAATGAATAGAACTAAGAACACTCATATACAAGATTTTGGTTTGACATATGCTTTCATTTTACTTAGGTAAATAACTACA